ACGCGCTAAGAGCAGTGCCTAATGCTAGTATGAGAAATAACTTCAGGCGGATTTGCTTCGGGCTCCATCACTCTACCTCTGTGAATGTGGCCTCACCTCCAAGTGGGCTGACAAGACGACTCAGTGAAATACAGGAAGCGCAATCCCAGAATGTCTCTAAGTGACTAATAAAAAAATCTTCCTATGATGAACTGCATTCGTGGGGTACGGCATGTTACTCTGTAGTCATATTTAACTGAATGTCGGGCTAAACTAAGCTAATTCACGGGCTAAAGAGTCAGAGGAATGAGGGCAGATCAAAATGCCTCCACAGACTGGTTTCTGAGATTCAAGACGGAACAGCTACACGAGAGCCGCAGACCTTTACAACCGCCTGCTGCACTTCTCGGTCTCAAAGGCACATCAAGGGCCAGGTTTCTAAAAGCAAGCTTGTCAGCTTCCTTCTCCATGCCAGTCTTGTTCCAAGATTCCCCTAACACTCTGAACGATATTAGTCATGAAAGCCAAAAATCTAGGTGTCATCCTGATCCCCTTCCCACTCACCCACCAGTCCCAACCCATAAAGTCATGTCAAGTCTGTCTACTTTATCCCTCAGGCCACCGCCATTACCACCCCAGCACCCTACCCTCACGCCCGGGTCTCCTAATTTCACATTATCCATTCTGCATAGTAATACTGTAGGTTATCCATTTTCTGCTAGAGTCTACAAATGCAGAATAGTTCACAAACACCAAACCCAAAAATATATAAATATGTACACTATGAAGCATAATAAAAAATGGTTATTCACAGGGAGGATGGGTGGAGGGGAGGGTGATTGGTGGGACCACGCCTATGGTCCATCTTACAGGGGTACATGTGAATCTTTCTAAATGTAGAATATAAATGTCTTAACACAATAACTAAGAAAATGCCATGAAAGCTATGTTAACCAGTTTGGTGAAAATATTTCAAATGGTATATAAAGCCAGCACACTGCACCCCATGATTGCATTAATATACACAGCTATGATTTAATAATAATAATAAAAAAGAACACCTAGTTAAATCTGGAGAAAAAAAAAAAGACGATTTTTCACGCACGGAACACCCAGGAAAACAATACCATCATTTAAAAATGCAAATATAACCAAATCAGTCCCCTATTTAAAATGCACCTAAGTCAGCCACACCAGTCTTTCCATTCCTGGGTTCTGGTAGTTCTAGAATGTGCTCACTTTCAGCCTCCACCCTTTTAACCTCCCTATGACATCCCCCTTGAAGCACTCACCACGTTTGGAATGACATGACTGATGATTGCAGGACTGAAAGCTCCACCCGCAGTATCTTTTTTGTTCATCATTGCTGCTCTTGGACTCAGAGTACAGGAAACAGTTGCTAGCGGATGAAAGGAAAAGGAATCGCCTGGGTTGTGGATGGGGCCAGAGGAAAGGAAAAACACTCTGAGGACTTTCTAGGGAGAGCAGCACTGCTTATGGAAATTATCATTTCTCCCCATCAGCGAGGGCTCCCTTTAATGAATCCTGGCCTATGGGGTTGCATATCTCATACAGGGATTGCCTCATTTAATTGCTTTGGCCTTTGATATGCTTCATGAACACAGTTAATTGTCCACCACTGGGTCTCTCTCCATAATTTACACTCACTTAGCTCCAGCCCGTGTGCAACAGCCCTTAGGACTAGTGTTTTTAAAGTTCACATCTTTCGTTTCGACCTTGCTAATCCACAGATTTGTTGTTGGAACCAAAATGAAGAGCTGGATAATTATGCTTTACTATTGCATGGCTCAAAAAAAATGTTAACTGGCTAGGCACAATGGCTCACACCTGTAATCCCGGCAATTTGGGAAGCTTCAGCGCAGGAGTGTGTTGTTACGGTAAACTGGGATCCTGCCACTTCACTACAGCCTGGGCAACAGAACACGACCCCGCCTCTATAAAAAGGGAGAAAAGTTTGTTTTTGAGACAGAGTTTTCCTTTGACACCCTCAGTAAAGTGCTCTTGGGCTTAAGTGATCCTCTTGCCTCAGCCTCTCAAGTAGCTGGAATTACAGGTGCCTACCACAATGCCTGGCTATTTTTCAGAGACGAGGTCTTGATCTTGCTAACGCTGGTCCTGAACTGAGGTCAAGAGATCCATCCACCTCGGCCTCCCAGAGTGCTAGGATTACAGGCATGAGCCACAGGACAAAAAAGTATTAACCGATAACTTTTAAGTATATCTATATTGAGAAATAAATGTTCTATAGCTGTACATGTGAATGCAAAATATTAAATTCGTGAGTACTCTTTGCTACAAATCAGCTTAGACCCAAGACAAAGAAATCCCTTAACCATGCATATCATCTTCACTAAGTATTTTAAGAAATTAAAATATAAAGTGTTTATAACGCATTATTTAACTAGAAACAAATTAATTTTTTTTTTGAGACAGGGTCACTATGTTTGCTCTCAGTAGAGTGCTGTGGTGTCACAGCTCACAGCAACCTCAAACTCTTGGGTTTAAGAGCTTCTCTTGCCTCAGCCTCCCAAGTAGCTGGGACTACAGGTGCCTGTCACAACACCCAGCTATTTTTTTGTTGCAGTTGTTGTCATTTAGCTGACCTGGGTTGGGTTCAAACCCACCAGCCTGGGCGTATGTGACCGGTGCCCTAACCACTGAGCTATGGGCGCCACCAGGTCCACAGTTTTGTCTGGGATTTAAACTTAGATTCTGCAATTTTTGACAATGACTCCTGGAAAAGTCTCCTGATTTGGTTTCTTCATCTATGAAAGTGAAAAACACGGCTTAAATCTCTATCCTTCAGATAAATCTAAAAGGATTATCTGACGATTAAACAAAATACTATAGACAGAAGCACCTGTCAGAATTTGCATTCAATAAAAGTTTAAAAAAGGAACAGAAATGCAAAAGCATTGTAGCATATATAGGTTATAAAGTCCCGTAAAAAGTTATAAAGAAAATAAAAACAACCCCCACAGTGTCTGTTATTTATATTAAAATTGCCATGAAATACTAGATTAAACTCTAAAATAGATCTATACCTTCAGTAGCAATTAAAATATTTGGTTTCAAAGGGAAAGGATAGAATATTGATAAGGGGGCAATGCCCATAGCACAGTGGTAATGGCGCCAGCCACAGACACTGAGACTGGCAGGTTTGAACCCGGCACAGCCCAGCTAAGACAATGACAGCTGCAACAACAACAACAAAAAAATAGCTGGGTGTTGTGGTGGGCGCCTAGTCCCAGCTACTTGGGAGGCTGAGGCAAGAGAATTGCCTAAGCCCAGGAGTTGGAGGATGCTGAAAAAAAAGAATATTGACAAGGGCTTCTATTTGTCTGGCTATAAAATACTACACTGACTCGTGTTAATTGACTTAGTATTATTACTTTTTTAAAAACTTTTCAGAGTTTTGCTTACATAATCGTTGTTTTCTGTGAAAATCCTCTTGCCCTCTTTTGGGAGCTCTTACCCGTCTGCCCGCAAGCACTAGGTCTTCACAGCAGGGCCTACCAGGTTGGTGGTCCCAGCTGTGTGCTAAGGCTTCTGCAGGGAGGATTTAAATCACCTGAGCGGACCTGAGGAGCCCGCACCCTTCTTTCATCCTCCTCTGGGCCCCGCGCGTGCTAACCTGAGTTCTACACGCTGCTCCCTTTCCGGATGGCGCCTCAGGTGTGTGTATGTGGCGTCTTTTCTCCCTCATGCACAAGCAGGTCTGTAATATGTTTCCTTTCAGGTAAAATGGGGGAAGGATGAGAAGAAAACCGTTGCCAGCCATTTCTGCAGATCTCAGCACAAGTATGTTGTCCATTTTTCAATACAATATATTTTCTTGATGATGAGACACCAGGATGAGACTTAACATTTATCAATAGTTAAGAAAAAAAGGAATCAATTTGGAAAACTTTATCAACAAGTTTTCAAAACAAGGGTTGGTTTTTTTTGACAGTGAATGTACAATATTATATGGTTTGCCATTATGTCCTCTCTAGGAAGAAAAATAGAATGAGAAATACAGTATAAGGCATTATAAGTTCAATAGATTTTTAAAACACTGAAGAGATACGAGTTAGAAAAAGTGCCATTGAATAAACCAGTTGTAAAAGCCATTTTCCAACAAGAGAGATTTAAATATGAACCACGTATTGGATGATTCTGATAATTACTGTTTGTTAAAAGTAGTATTAGCATTGTGGGTTTTTTTAAAGGCCTTATCAGTTCAGGATACGAACTAAAGTATTATTAAGTGAAATGATTGGGATGGGATATGCTTTAAAATATCTCAGCTTAAAAAAATTGTGTTTTGTTACAGGGATGATAGATGACAACTGTGACAACAGATCACAGTGTTCTAATGCTGCTGTTGATATACATAGGATAAATAAAATGATGGAATTTTAAGTCTCTGTGTAAATGGCACCTGGTGTAATGTACGACATAAACACTTCTTTTTAAAGGTTTTTAGGTGATGCGCTGCTAAGCACACCTGTGACTTATCAGAGTGACTCTAGTATCTAAACTGCTAAAGGAGCAGTAAGGATGACAGGCACAGAGAGAGGGAAGCCCGTGTAGGTGCCACGGGCTCTACTACAGCTCAGGGCAGGCAACCGAGCTGGGGCATTACTCTGTGTTAGAACTAATGTATGAAGTAAGACAACTTTTGAATGAAAAGCTCTTTCTGTGCAGACCTGAGGTCACCACACATCCTACTTTGTTTCTGTGGCGTATGGAGCACATGAACAGAAACTGTTGGGGGAATTACATGCCCATCCACTGTAGTTCTAATCCGCGACATATAAAACATTCTTTATGCTGATTTCTGGGCATTCAAGAGCAATAACCTAGACATTTTTCATGGAGGGCTTAAACAGGAGGACAAATGGATGGAACCATTCAGATAGAATCACAACTAAAACTGCATTTGCTGCTTTGAGTCTAGTAATTTTGTGGCCAACCTGATTCTCCATCCACATAAAGAAAGGCATACTATTTCTTTATTTTTTTTATTTGACAAGCAGCAATATCATGTTTGTCATTTTGATGTAGATACAATTATTAGGTTATCTGTCATATTACAATATTTAAGATTTTTTATTTTATGTCCTTTAAGATACATTAAAAAAAAAAAAAAACACATCAACTGCAAACGTGAAGAGGGATAAAAGCATGGTACCCAACCAAATTTCCACATTTCAGCAATACTTCACTCACTCTTTTAATAAAGTTTTAAGAAATGTCACAATGACATGAGCTTGAAGTATCTCTAGGCATTTTCTTTGACGCTCATGACGTGGCACTGGTGATGTTGTAAACAGCAGAAAAACAGGGGCTGCCGAATGACCAAATTAGGGAGGCACAGGCCTGCTTCTTCCCACAGGAACACCCCAAATGGTGATGGCGATGACCGTCTCACACTCACACCGGAGGAGAGTGACATCACGCGACGTAGCTGTACTCATCTGCCGAGGCTTGGCTGCGTTCGATGTACTGTTTGTCTATCAGAACTTCAATACACTTCTTAATCATGCTGATACTGGGATTAAACCTAGCTCTTGACTGGCTAATCACCTGTGTAAGAGAGACACAGAAGTCAAACTACTGCTCTAAATGATTACTGTTGGCCGAGGGCAGTGGCTCACGCTCGTGACCCTAGCACTTTGGGAGGCCGAGGGAGGAGGAGTGAGTGAGGGCAGGAGTCTTAAGACCTGTTGAGCAACAGCAAGACCCTATCTCAACAAAAAGTAAAAAAATTGGCTGGGCATGGTAGTCCTAGCAATGTGGGAGGCTGCAGCAAGAGGACTGCCTGAGCCCAGAAATTTGAGGTTGCTGTAAGCTATGATGATGCCATTGCCCTGGAGCCTCGACAACAGAGGAAGGCCCTGTCTCAAAAAGAAAATGACTTTTAACCAATCAGTTAAAAAGCACTGCAAATTTACTGAGCTTTTAATAGACCTAATGCAATAAGAAGAGATCTATGTTTATACTGTGAAGGGATTAAAATGTAGAACACAGGTATTTCTTTCCCATTGGACTGAGAATTCCCCAAAGGGCCTGCCAGTCCTGAGCTGCTGTGCACAGCACCCCAGCAACCAGTCCAGCATGCCACCAGGGGGAGCCACTAAAACATGGATGGGATAAATGAATATTTGATGTGATCAATTTCCTTTAGTAACTGAAGACTCAGTTGCTAAATCGGCAGGTTTTACCTAAATTCAAGTCACAGTAAATCTGATTTTAATACCGAAATTCTAAGTGAGTACTGTTGTTCTGAAGTAACAAAACATTTCTTTATGCTATTTGGGGAGCATATTATTTCTATGTCACAAAGACTCCATCCACACACTGATAAATCCTTCTGAGAAGTCTTCGGGACGCTCTCTCTTTTACCTCTTGAATAAGAGCATTGTGCCGAAGCACTTTCCGTGCTTTCATGATACGAACTATAGCAGCTTGGAGATACATTTTCCGGTCCTCATCAACCGCACTTCTAGTCTGCTCCATTTCCTGTTTTACCAAAGAGAAATGAGCAAACAAGACATGAAGTCACTGAAAGTTTAAAATTCATTTCATCAGCAAGTTCAAATAAATTTCCAATCAATATTGAGCATTAAACACTACAGTTATGCTGTGCCCCAATATCACACTGGGACGGTCAAAACAACATCTACATCATTTCTAGGGCTGAAGTTGGAAGGGTGTTGGAAAAAAATGTACACTACTGTAAGCTGTACAAAGGACTTAAATGACACAGAGCAATAATTTAAGACAGCTGTCTCATCAGTGGTTACAGAATCTACATCATGATGCCTCAGAGCGAGCCGCAGGCACCAAGCGCAGTGCTGGATCCGGCTTTAAGGTGAAGAGTTGCCAAGGGTTTTACTGGGCTCAAGTAGAGAAGCCAGGTGGGAAGGAGCTGGAGAGGGCCTATCTCCGCAGAGCCCAGGGAAAACCCAGACGTGGGGAATAGAAGCAGGCCAGGCCACATTAGAGGGCACTCTCATAACAGTTTTTAAAAGATAAAAATTCAATCAATATATAATCAATTATTATTTATTAGCTGAAAAGAAAAAGGAATCTTGAACATCTTAAGGTTTAAAGTTGTCTGTAATCCTAGCACTCTAGGGGGCCAAAATGGGTGGATTGCTTGAGCTTAGGGAGTTTGAGACCAGCCTGAACAAGAGTGAGACCCTGTCTCTACTTAAAAATAGAAAAACTATGGGCGGTGCCTGTGGCTCAGTGAGTAGGGCACCAGCCCCGTATACTGAGGGTGACGGGTTCGAACCCCAGCCCTGGCCAAAACTGCAACAAAAAAATAGCTGGGTGTTGTGGTGAGCACCTATAGTCTCAGCTACTCAGGAGGCTGAGGCAAGAGAATCGCCTAAGCCCAAGAGCAACCTCACAGGAGGTTGCTGTGAGCTGTGATGCTACGGAGGACTACAAAGTGAGACTCTGTTTCTAAAAAAAATAGAAATACTAGCCGAGCATTGTGGTGGGCACCTGTAGCCCCACCAACTTGGGAAGCTGAAGAAAAGGAGTGCTGGAGCCCATGAGTTGGAGGTTGCTGTGAGCTATGCTGTAGCACTACACTGAGGGTGACAAAGTGAGACTCTGTCTCAAAAAAAAAAAAAATCAAGAACAGAGGCCCCACGCTCACACTGGCCCACCAGGGAGTCTAGACCCCATTCCAGACCCAAGAGTCCGCTTTTAATAATCTACCTTTTAGTAAGATCCTCAGGTAACTCATCTGCCCATCAGTGATAATTTGAAAAGAATTTTCTATATGACCACTTTTCTTTGAGAGAACTGAGGTATAAAACTTCCTTTTGTTTTATAAATGAGAAATACGGAAGACTATAAATTACATCTCAAAGTAACGTGAAGCAAAAGCTACACGTTTTTAATGGTTGAAGAGCACATACAATTAAACTATAACACCTTTTTCCTTAGCTGCCCTCTACTCTTTTAAAATCTAAAATACCCACAGATTTTTGTTTCATTAAGGCTTACAAGTGCAAAAGATAAACCAGAAAAGATATATATTATTTACTTTGGCATGCAAAGTTTTGCATGATCTCAATGTAAATTACATTTATAAAGTCCAATGCTTAAAAATTCCCCAATATGGCATTAAAGGCATTTACCTGTGGAGTGTCTTTCTGCATAGATGTGGTGATTTTAAATTTTGTTCTTTTACTGCTAAAGTTCATATTTAATGAAAATGAAGATTCTGCATCGATGTCTTCCTACATTTAAAAAAAATTTATAAAAAAAATCATTAAATAAGAGTGACTACAAGTAATAAGCCATGAAATAAGTTATGACCAAGAGGAAAAGACTGAACACTAGTAATTTTTACATTATAAAGAGTATTGAATTTAAGAGAAAAATAACTGCCTTTTGTCAAACAAGCAAAAACCGATTATTTTCTAATTTTGCATAAATCTGCCATGATCTCCATCAGTTCATATTTAGGAATAAGCTATTTTCTGGTCCAACTCGTATATATATAAAACCTTTTGATCAACGAGAGGCAAGCTCAATTGCTTAAACAGAATTTGACATTTTACTTCTTATGAAATACCCAAGACTCAAACTTTTCTCACTCTGCTTTGAAAAACCAAACAACTAGGGCCGGAAGCGGTGGCTGACACCTATAATCCCAGCACTTTGGGAGGCCAAGGTGGGTGGATTGCGTGAGTTCATGAGTTTGAGACCAGCCTGAGCAAAAGCAAGACTCATTCTCTAAAAACAGCCAGGTGTTGTGGCAGGCGCCTGTAGACCCAGCTACTTGGGAGGCTGACGCAAGAGGTTCGCTTGAGCCCAAGTGTTTGAGGTTGCTGTGAGCTATGACTCCACGGTACTACGCGGGGTCACAAAGTGAGACTCTGTCTCAAAGAAACAAAAAAGAATAATGAAACAACTATCTTTTTCAAATTCTGCAAGAACAAGACAGCATTTATGAATAACCTGACTGCAAAAGAAGGCTATGTCACTAGGAGCACACAAGTGCCAATTCTCTGAGACCTGGGGGACAGTGACAGGGTTTACCCTACCATCCCTGTTTTATTCATTCACTTAGAAGCAGTGGCCTTATCTCGGGGGAATGTGGTTAAGCCAATTTTTAGAAGCAAAACTTGTGTTTCAGGTGTAATAGAGAGTCAGTCACATCCTACAGAGGAATTTCTTTGGCAGTTAGATCCTTGGCAGATGGACTCATTCTCAATAATAACCTGGGAAATTCTGCCATGACTAAAATTTAAAGTGCAAACAAAGAATCTATATTTATTTTGTAAGTTTCCAGGCAGCAAAAATAGCATGCTTAAAAACCAACTTTTAAAGCATCAATTGCTTGAAATTTTAAAATCCTAATTAAATTAAGCTTACTTAAAAATCTTAATGAACATTAAGAAATTTTAATATTCTATTATAATTCAGAACCAGAAAAATTAATCACTTCTAAAAACTATGAAAACATTGGTGTGAACTTGAGAATAAGTCATTTATAACTGTTCCATTATAGACTGTAAAATGTCATCGCAATCTTAGGAACGTCAGCAAAGTGAACTAATGAGAGAAATAAGGTACAGGTTATTAAGTTCACCAACATGAAAATGAAACATAAGAATTTTTTCTTTAAAGCACAATAATTTGAAGCAGGGGACTTAACCCACATCTGTGGTTTTTTTAACCATTTAAACATCTAGGATATACTATAACAACACAACAGTAAAAACTTGTTATTACAAAAAAAGTCATAAACAAAAAGCAGCACTGGGAGGCTGAGACGGGAAAACTGCCTGAGTGCAGGATCAGCCTGAGCAAGAGAGAGACCCCATCTCTAAAACAGCCAACATTATAGTGGACGCCTGTAGTCCCAGTTACTTGGGAGGCTGAGGCAAGAGGATCACTTGTGCCTAAGAGTTTGAGGTTGCTGTGAGCTACAGATGGAATGGGATTCTACTGAGGGTGACAGAGTGAGACTCTGTCTCAAAAAAAAAAAAAAATCCAAAAAAGAAAGAAAAGAAAAAGAAGCAATATACTATTGGTTTGTTATTCCTGTGATGGATATTAAAAATATATTGTGGTCAACTGAATGTGGACATCAAGGTACCCAAGAGCACTTGGAATGGAGGTACACTTGTTAATATCAGTACAAAGAGATACCAACAAGCTACCATTCCCTATTACAAAACCAAGGAATTAAACTAACTGAACATATTTTTTAAAAACCAGAAAGATTTACGATGGGCTACAGGGTAAAAAACAGTTCTGATCAATTAATCAGAATCTTGTAGATGACAATTCTTCTCTTTTCTTTTTGAGACAGTCTTACTATGTCGCTCTCAGGAGAGTGCCGTGGCATCACAGCTCACAGCAACCTCAAACTTTTGGGCTTAAGTGATTCTCTTGCCTCAGCCTCCCAAATAGCTGGGACTACAGGCGCCCACCACAACACCCAGCTGTTTTTTAGAGACAGGGTCTCAGTCTTGCTCAGGCTGGTCTCGAACTTGTGAGCTCATGCAATCCACCCGCCTCAGCCTCCCAAGTGCTGGGATTACAGGCATGAGCCATCACACCCGGCCTAGATGACAATTCCTTTTTTTTTTTTTTTAAGAGACAGAGTCTCACTTTGTTGCCCTCAGTAGAGTGCTGTGGTGTCACAGCTCACAGCAACCCCTAGCTCTTGGGCTTAGGTGATTCTCTTGCCTCAGCCTCTTGAGTAGCTGGGAGTACAGGCACCCACCACAATGCCCAGCTATTTTTTTGTTGCAGTTTGGCCAGGGCCAGGTTTGAACCCACCACCCTCAGTATATGGGGCCAGCGACTAAGCCATAGGCGCCGCCCAGGTGGCAATTCTTTATAGTAAGCTGTCAACAGTACAGGGCAAGTAAAATCAAACCATAAAGGGTACACAGGCACCAATTTAGATGGCATTCTCTGTGATGCCTCAAGTTGACCAAGGTAAGGAGCTTGCAGGAATGTAGCTGACTAAAGTATTTTCCAAAGCACAAAGAGTACTGACAATTATAGCCTTACTCTTCAAACTGTAAACATCCTGTGAAAAGCTTTAATGTTGGTAATGCTTAAACTGCTTGGAGTTAGCACATACCTTTTCTGAATCATGGTTAATCATTTTCACATCAAGCAATGATTTGATTGTTTTTGTCAGTTCCTTTTCATTCATCTGAGTGCTGTCTTGAAGCTCTTTATAGCTGACAATTTCACTGTTGTTAAAGGCAAGAAGGACTGCCATTTGGTATGTTGTGACCATGGCTACATATGGTTTGCCCAAATAGTTCATTTTAACTTCACCTATAATTCAAATAAAAATTGCGATCATTCAAAGACACATTTCAAAATTACTTGTGTCAGCTTGGCACTGTGGCTCACACCTGTAATCTTAGCACTTTGGGAGGCCAGGGCAGGATTATCGCTTGAGGCCAGGAGTTCAAGACCAGCCAGGGCAACATAAACCTACGGAGACCCCATCTCTACAAAAAAATAAGAAAAATTAGATGGGCGAGGTGGTGCATGCCTGTAGTCCCAGCTACTCGGGAGGTTCAGGTGGGAGGATTGCTTGAGCTCAGGAGTTGGAGATAACAGTAAATAAAATGTGGTCAAACCACTGTACCCCAGCCTGGGCAACAGACCAAGACTCTGTCCCTTTAAAAAAAAAAAAAAAGAAGAAGAAGGGGAAGAAGAAGACTAGCTAGTTTGGTATTATGCCTTTTTTGTGCTACTTTTCAATACATCAACCAGGGAATGGGGCACAGCGACCTTTCCACTTCTTTTAGCACCATCTCTTACGAGTCAGCTCCTGCTGCAAAGACTAGGGGACAGGTGGGTGGGAAGGAAGCTCCAAACCTACACGATTCATTTAATTATTGCCGTGTAATCAGAGAAGAAAAATGACAAAAGAGTGGCCATTTAACCTGCAGAATAGGTTGACAAATGCTAAGACCAAAACGATCTGATACCTGTGTACTTTCAAAAAATAAGTCAACCATGAGGCCAGGTGTGGGAGCTCACCTGTAATCCTAGCACTCTGGGAGGTCAAGTCAGGTGGATCGCCTGAGCTCAAGAGTTTAAGACCAGCCTGAATAAAAAGCGAGACCCCTCGTATCTACCAAAAATAAAAAACTAGCTGGGTGTGGTGGCGGGTGCCTGTAGCCCCACCTACTCCAGAGGCTGAGGTAAGAGGATTGCTTAAGCCGAAGAGCTGGAGGTTGCTGTGAACCATGCAGTTCCATAGCACTCTAACCCAGGATGACAGAATGAGACTTTTTGTCTCAAAAACAAAACAAAACAAACAAACAAACAAAAATAAATGAAAATAAGTCAACCATAATTCACATGGCATTCACAACTATAAGAAATAATGAGTGGGCAGAATTCTCACAAGAGTTTCATCCAAGTCACTACCCCGTGTTGTCTGCTGATAATGTTGAAGGCATGATAGAATATCACCATTTTGCAACAATGATAAAAGACCTGATTCTGGCAAGGGTCAAGAGGATACTAAAACCATTAGTTAAGGCTGTGTCTGGGTGTTCCTATGTGACATGAGTATCACCACACAGACTGCCTGCTAACTGAAAGCGGGAAAGACACCTTTACAATGGGGACATCTGGTGGTTACTACCTTAAGCAAGTGACCAAATTCAGCATCGCTAATAGTGAGACAAGCTGACGTTTATCACGCCTTCTGATGTAATGCACTATGTACGAAGCACACAGGACCACCAAAGACGTGTTCTTGCCAATAATAACGAATCAGAATGTAATCAAACCTACTTTAGACCTAACCTCTACTGTACAGAACGTACTGGGAATAGAAGACGAATTTTAAAAATCACAACTAAAGAATCTGACTAACCCTGAAGAGTGGATAACTGACTGGTCTGGTCTGTTCAAAACAGTATGCCCGGCGTGGCACCTGTAGCTCAGCAGATAGGGCACCAGACACATACACTGGAGCTGGCGGGTTCAAACCCAGCCTGGGCCTGTCAAACAACAGTGACAACTACAACCAAAAAAATAGCTGGGCATTGTGGCTGGTGCCTGTGGTCCCAGATACTTGGGAGGCTGAGGCAAGAGGATCATTTAAGCCCAAGAGTTTGAGGTTGCTGTGAGTGACATAGTGAGACTCTGTCTAAAAAGAAAAAAGAAAAAACAGTATGCCTAAGAAATCTGGGGGTAGGGAGTAGGAGAGGACACGGGGAGACTTAACAGCCAAATGGAATCAGTGCCTTTGATTGCATTAGAACAAGCATCACTTTGAGGGCAATCAGGACAATTACAAATATGGACTGGAGGTGAGATATTACTAAGATGTTAGATAACATTAAGGATGTTAGATAATATTTTTAGCTGTTGAAATATGAAAGCAGCAATGAAAGAATTCAGTCACTGATAAAATCACTATCTTTCAAGGTATGTGCAAAAATATGGTGTGATTTTCAGTTTGGCAAATGATAGGAAAAACCAAATTCACAGAAGGACCCACAGTTCCCACAGCGCTAATCTGATCTATATTATGTGTTATCTGGCAGTGTTATCGCCCTTGGAGCTCATCCTTTCTCACCTTATCTTTCAACACTTGACTCGGCATTTCTGCAACTTCTTGGTGTGCCACAAATACAACTCATTCATAACGGAATGGCTTCCATTCTAATACCTGGAGAGATCTCTTCATCAAGTATCTATCTGCTTTTATCAAACTGTTCCCACGTATAATTCTTTTTTTTTTTTTAAGACAGAGCCTCAGGCTATCCCCCTGGGTAGAGTGCCTTAGCATCACAGCTCACAGCAACCTCCAACTCCTGGGCTCAAGGGAGTTCCCTGCCTCCGCCTCCCAAGTAGCTAGGACCACAGGCGCCCGCCACAACACCCAGCTATTTTTTTTGGTTGCAGCTGTCATTATTGTTTTGGTGGGTCCGGGCTGGATTCGAACCTGTCACCTTAGGTGTATGTGGCTGGTGCCTTAGCCACTTGAGCCACAGGCACCGAGCCCCCACGTAGAATTCTATCCAAAGCTCTTGTCATTAATCTGGCAGAATTTTCAGCATTTTTCTTACTATCTGTCACATCTGATATCATAGATTGCTTCTCAAAATTCTGACCTCCGTTGGCAATATACTTTCAATGCTCTTCTTTGCCTAGCTTGGCTAAGTGCTATTTGTTCTTGAAAACCAAGTTTAGATGTCATCCAGAAGCCTGCCCTTGCCAATGCATGTTTGCCATGACCATTCCACGTAACACTAAATACCCTGACTGGCCTGTCTATCCCACGAGTTTGAAACACTGTGCTGTAACCACAGACGTGTCTGTTTTCCTACTGAAACTGCTTCCAGCAGGAGCTTGCTGAGGGCTGACGCTCTGTATTTTATCTCTGTTCACTTGGCATTTAGATATACTTGGAACACAGAAGATGTTCTCTGACTTAATCAATGAATATAACAAAGGTAAAGGTGAGTGGACTGGCCGCAGTGGCCCACACTGGTAATCCCAGCACTCTGTCAGACCAAGAAGGGGGGGTTGGCTTGAGGCCAGGAGTTTGAGACCTGCCTAAGTAATATCCCCCCACCCCCAAACTCCACTCTATCAAAAAGGAAAAAAAAAAATCAGCCAGGTATGGTGATACTTAGAATCTAGCTACTCCAGAGAATGGGGCAGGAGGATGGCTTGAGCCTAGGAGTTGTAGGCTACAGCAAGCTCTGATCACACCACTGCACTCCAGACTGAGTCACAGAGTGAGACCCTGTCTCTAGGGGTAAAAAGAGAAGAAGAAAGAGGAAAATATATATGTAAGAAAGAGGAAAAAATATATGTATAAAGATAAGGAAATAAACTCAAAGAAATTAAGTAACTTGCATGAGGTTACATAGCTATTAAGTGATGAGTTAACAATTAACCCCAGGTCTTCTGAGTCTAAACTCCTCCAAATACTCCATTTGCAAACATCTTGGATTACAACTCAAAAATTAAACTGTTTCTTAGGTGTTCAATAACCTATGGATGTAGAAATGGATTAGGAGGGCGGCACCTGGGGCTCAGTGAGTAGGGCATCAGCCCCATAAACAGAAGGTGGCAGGTTCGAATCCAACCCCAGCCAAACTGCAACAAAAAAATAGCCAGGCAATCTGGCAGGTGCCTGTGCTCCCAGCTACTCAGAAGGCTGAGGCAAGAGAATCACCTAAGCCTAAGAGCTGGAGGTTGCCGTGAGCTCTGATGCTACAGCACTCTACTGAAGGCGACAAAGTGAGACTGTCTCTTAAAAAAAAGAAAAGGACTAAGAATGAGTTATTCTCATCATATGTTTACATACGATACTTGAAACAGAGCTGAGTAATTGGTCTAGGCTCCGAGAAAATGTTTTTACAAAGTCCCAAAGCCTTATGCCTGCCATATATGGGGACTCCAGAATAAGCATCTCAAACATGGATAGGGTCTGAGAATCTATTGTTAAATAAATGAAAAACAAAAATACTGACCAAAAGACACAAACTTCCCGTTAGCAGGACTGAGTTCTGGAGATCTTTGTTGTATAGCATGGAGACTACAGTTAATAATAATGGGCTCGGCGCCTATAGCTCAACCGGCTAAGGCGCCAGCCACGTTCACCTAAGGTGGCGGGTTCGAATCCCTAGCCCAGACCCGCCAAACAACAATGACGGCTGCAACCAAAAAATAGCCGGGCGTTGTGGCGGGGCGCCTGTGGTCCCAGCTACTTGGGAGGCGGAGGCAGGAGACTCACTTGAGCCCAGGAGTTGAAGGTTGCTGTGAGCTGTAATGCCACTGCACTCTACCCAGGGGGACAGCTTGAGGCTCTGTCTCCAAAAAAATAAATAAATAAATAAATAATAATGTATACTTGTAAATTGTTATCAGACTAAATCTTAAAGGTTTAAGATTTAAATCTTAAATGAAGGTTTTAACTAAAACACAAATGACTACAAAAAAGACCACCTATTCAGTAGTATGTTATCATTGATGGATATCAATGTCATTATACACTGTAAATACATAAAATATATAAATACATCAATATACACTGTAAATATATAATATTTGTACTTATCAATTATACCTTAATAAAATTGGGAAGGAATCCTAGCACTTTAAGAGGTTGAGGCAGGAAGATCCCTTTAGCTCAGGAGTTTTGAGACCAGCCTGAACAAGAGTGAGATCCCATCTATACTAAAAATAGAGAAACTATCAGGGCATTGTAGCGTGTGCCTCTAGTCCCAGCTACTCAGGAAGCTTAGGCAAGAGGATTACTTGAACCCAGGCATTTGAGGTTGCTGTGAGCAAGGCCACAGCACTCTAGTATGGGCAACAAGTGAGACTCCAAGTCCAATCCAAAAAAAAAAGCCACATACACCGAGGCTAGTGGGTTCAAACCTGGCCTCGGCCAGCTAAATAATAATGACATCTGCAACAAAAAATAGCTGGGCACTGTGGCGGGCATCTGTAGTCCCACCTACTTGGGAGGCTGATGCAAAAGAATCACTTAAGTCCAAGAGTTGGAGGTTGCTGTGAGCGGTGATACCACAGCAAAGGCAACATAGACTCTGTCTCAAAACAATAAATAAAATAAATAAAACTATGTAGATAAGTTCTATTTTTTTTTTTCTTTAGAGACAGTCTCACTTTATCGCCCTCAGTAGAGTGCCAAGGCATCATGGCAGGGCGCCGGCCACATACACCAAGAGCAGTATATGTGAATCCAGCCTACGCCTGCTAAACAACAATGACAACTCCAACCAAAATACAGCCAGCGTTGTGGCAGGTGCTTGTAATTCTAGCTACTTGGGCGGCTGAAGCAAGAGAATCGCTTAAACCCAAGAGTTTAAGGTTGCTGTGAGCTATGATGTCATGGCACTGTACCGAGGGAGACATAGTTAAGACTCTGTCTCAAAAAAAAAAAAAAAAAAGTGAGCCTCTCAGTAAAATTACTTGAGGAGATAGGCTGGTTATAACTAGGTAATAGAATAACCAAGAAATTTCAAACTCCCCAAGGCAGATACTCAGGGGAATTAAAAACAAATACAATTCAACTACATTAGCATGTATCAGTTTTCTTAAAAAACGTGTCGTCTAAAACACAATGTTTTTTCCCTCAAAATCAATTATATTTACTAAATGAGAATAGAAAAAAATCTCTACTATGTGTAAAATATTTACATTCTTAGGGGGCTAATAAATACATATGTGTAAAACAAAAGGTCAAATATTAAGCAAACACTTAGTAAACATCTCTTTATTTTACAAAATACTAAAAAATGTAAATGCCCAACTTGTTCAATAAAGATGAACTTGCACAAATAATGCAACATGTGTCACTCACATAATGAGCTATCACACTCCAAGCTGCAAATTAGTCAAATAAATGGCAAATTACTTAGATGAAATCTCTCTTTGGGTGAAGAGACAGAAAGAATTTCCTACTTCTTAGTACCATTTCTGAGATGATGATATATATGCCCTTTCCTTCTTGTACAAAGAAAAAGTGATATTTTTCAAAATAGAGTTTAGCAAAAAGAGAGAAAACGTGTTTGCTTTGTCTAACACCTTCAGGCGACTGTACACTGCCTACAATCCTGCAGGTTTTAACTCTAGTGCCAATCAGTAAGCCCCACTATTCCAGAAGCTGCAAAGGAAATGATCAGATTCTAACTAAAGCTTTTTTAAAACTATAAACTACTGGAAATTAATTAGGACTCTGTGGGAAAAGAATTTGCTAGTGCAGTTGTATAGTTTATTACAGCGTCATAAATTAAAAAATCAAACAGTCAAGTTTCCTTGTGCTGTCATAGTTAATGAAATTTCTAAGGATATCTAAGGTATAACTTAAGAGAATAGATTTTAGAAGTAGCTGACCTATCAGATCTGATTTTCTTTTCTTTCTTTTTTTTTTTTGAGACAGAGTCTTACTTTGTCACCCTTGATAGAGTGCTGTGGCGGCATAGCTCACAACTTCAAACTCTTGGGCTTAAGCAATTCTCTTGCCTCAGCCTCCCAAGTAGCTGGGACTACAGGCGCCTAGCACAAGAGACAAGGTCTCACTCTGGCTCCAAGTGGTCTTAAACCGTCAGCTCAGGCAATCCACCCGCCTCGGCCTCCCAAGTGCTGGGATTACAGGCGTGAGCCACCCCGCCCAGCCCTTAAATCTGAGTTTCTGAATAAACTTTCTGATATTCTTACGAAGTGGTTGGCTACAGAAATGTAATAAATCAGCAAATTTAGGACATTTCTTAAAAGCAGCATAATTAGGGCTCAACTACAATTTTAACTTTACCTTAGCATTGAAAACAATGTAACCTAAAATTTGTACTCTCATATTAATCTGAAATAATAATAAAAAAAGAATTAAGGAGAAAAAAAAAATCTACTTTTCAAAAGAAAAGCATAACTGTAAAACACAAAGTGTGTACCAGAACTTCGTCATTAGCTACTTTAGTGGTGGTGACCATAAAGGCAGATGGAGGAGAAAAGGTTAAAAACTATAATTAGACATCACTTTCTAAATAAGCATAATCGTGTTAGGTCACTGCCATTAAACAAGATACAATTAAATGCATTTTACCTGTACACAGATAATGTAACCATGTCAGTTTCCTTCCACTGAAATGCTGGCTGTAAAATAATTCAAACTGTAAAGAAAACAAAAACAAAAGCACCATTATTATCAGCTACTAACTTACCTAGCTATCACCATACTATAAAAGTAAAAAAATGTCCATTTTAGAAAAGACATTTTAGCCCATCTGGCAAATGTTCTTATTTTTCAAAGGAGAAAACACATCCATCTGTGTAGTGCTTGACCAAGATTATGCAAATACTATCCCACCTCTTTTAACAGGCAACCTGGCACACAGCTCTCTCTGCTTAACACAAAGTAGATGCACTTGGACTTTCTGTTTAAGTTCAGAAATGATCTCGTTAGTAATTCATTGTCATTTGTGAATAATATTAGTTTGGACTTTATGAATTTTACTTACTGACCGAAGACACCATCACATGTATTTCAACGTGAAAATATAAATCATACCTTCTAATCTGTTGATCAACATGAGTCTGACGAGTTTACAACTCATCCTAGTTTAGAACTCAACCTAGCTTCACTGATTATCAGTACAGGCACGAGATGGCCAAGGGGGAGTACCTCAAAGGTGACCTTAGTGCTATTCAGCAACGAGGTACACAGCCCTTTTCTAGGATGACTTCGTGAACTTAACTGTCTGACCTGGTACACCCTTTGCTGAAGTGAAGCCTGGTGAACATCTGTGTGGTTGCCTATAAAGCAGTACGTGTGATTTATTCCCACATTCAGGCAAACACTAATACAAAGACTCAGGGGATGTTTTCATTGGCTATTCTTTTGTTGATAATGTGGTGAATCATGAAATTTAACATTCTATTAATGTAGCCAGGAAATTTAAAAAACTCCTTCCCTGGATTGAAGGTGTAATTATAGGATATTAATCCAAAAATGTAGAGTTCAGGGCTAGACACTGTAGCTGACCCCTGTAATCCTAGCACTCTAAAGATTGCCTGAGCTCAGTTCCAGACCAGTCTGAGTAAGAGTGAAACCCCATTGAAAAACATAGCCAGGCATTGAGGTGGGTGCCTGTAGTCCCAGCTACTTGGGAGGCAAGAATATTGCTTGAGCCCAGAGTTTGAGGTCGGTATGAGTTATGACACCACAGCACTCTCCTGAGGATGACAAAGTAAGACTCTGTCTCAAAAAAAAAAAAAAAAAGAAAAGAAAAGAAAAATACAGAGTTCGTTTTTTTTGAGAGCTAGGACATTATATAATCTGGGGGAAATGACATGGAAAAGCAAAAAAGAGGGTAAAGGGAATACCTACTGTTTAACTTTGACTTTATATGTAAATAAAACATGTACACACTAATATTCTGAAATAAAAATGTGAAAAAGATAAAAATTCAACTTTTTTATAAAACAAAAAAATAAACAACTACTTGAAGCCACAGTTGAGAACTGTAGATATACTTTTAGCAGAGCAGTTCTCAACCTGTGGGTTGAGACCCAAAGGAACTGTATTAAAGGGCCACGGCATTAGGAAGCTTGAGAACCATATCATGATGTGCCATATGTACCATACCTAAATCTTTTTCTGTTGCCCTAGGTAGAGTGCTATGGCGTCACAGCTCACAGCAACCTCCAGCTCTTGGGCTTATTAGGTGATTCTCTTGCCTCAGTCTCCTGAGTAGCTGGGACTACAGGCGCCCGCCACAACGCCTGGCTATTTTTTAGTTGCAGTTGTCGTTGTTTAGAAGGCCGGTGCCCCACTCTCTGAACTACAGGCACTGAGCCTAAAACTTTCATTTGTATATCCAACTTTACCTTTAGCACTTTCAAAAAGAAGTCTATATAGTGCAATCAGCAACAGTTATCAGCTGGACTATGTCCACTCCTTCCAAGAAAAGTTTACAGCTCTAGCCAAGAGAATCGGTGAATTCTTTCAGCAGTTTATTCTAAGTTTGCCTAGGTCTGGGAAGCAAACATTTGTTGAGCAAATTTCCCTCCAGGAGTGCAGCAGCCTTCTCTCCCAGAATATCCACCAGCCCCTGGACCTGATGAACAGGAACTGAGTAGCACCTGGAATATTTAAGATCATCCGTCTGGGTCTAATCCAGACAAACAGCAACTCAAAATAGCTCATTCAACTAATTAGTAACCTTGTACGGTATCCATAAAATTCAGTTCTTACTATACAACTCATAATTTATCTATAAAACACAATGCATTTGTGGGCAAAAGGAAACTGAAACATTCTCAAAATAAGCTCAAGTTTTAAAATGCTCTTTATGTTTTTTATAACTAATTTAAGTGAAAAACTAACATTAAGATGTGCATTCCAACCTCTTAAAAAATGTTTTACTTCATTAGCAGTACTATTCAGTGAAGTTTTATTGATGATATCAATATGTCCTAAGAAACTGTTTCATCTTTAAATTTTATTTTTCCATCTTTAAATTTAAAATCTGATTACCAAGACTCAAGAACAAAATTCAATTCCAAATGGATTGTAAATTCATCTGGTATTATAAAGACCAGGTAGAAAACCTTGCTCAATTGTATCATTAAAATAATTGTATTATCAAAGTCTATTAGTAAGAAATACATGTTGACTAAACTTCTCAATTTATAGCAATAGGATAAAAGATAGTACTTTTCTTTTCTTTTCCCTTTATTTTTTTGAGATGGAGTCTCACTTTGACCCACCAGGTAGTGTGCAAGGGTGTCATAGCTCACAGCAACCTCAAACTCCAGGGCTCAAGCGATCCTCTAGCCTCGGCCTGCTGAGTAGCTGGGACGACAGGCACCTGCCATAACACCTGGCTATTTTTTAGAGACGAGGGTCGGTCTTGCTCAGGCTGGTCTTAAACTCCTGAGTTCAGGCAATCCACCTGCCTCAGCTTCCCAGAGTGCTAGGATTACAGGCATGAGCCACCAAGCCTGGGCCAAGGACAGCTTTTTTCATATACTATGTTAGGGCCTCAATTAGATCTCAAAGAGTCTTAAAAATTAAAATTGGCTATTCAATGAGTTTATTTACCTCTAATAGACAGCTGCATTAATATATACTACTTGAGATCTTTGTTTAATATTATTCAGGTTTTTGGACTAGGTAAAAAATAAATATAATTAAGATTTATTGGTTTACAGTGCAAAGTAAGTTACCTTTTTTTAAAATTGAAAAACTGAATTTGATTTTATTTATTGGAGAGAAAGAGTTTTCACTCTGAGGTGTTAGCCTACCTCACAGCAACTTCAAACTGCTGGGCTCAAGCGATCCTCCTGCTTCACCCTCCCAAGTAGCTGGGACTACAGGCACCTGCCACAATGCTCAGCTAATTTTTTCTTTTTAGTAGAGATGAGGTCTTGCTCTTGCTCAGGCTGGTCTTGAATGCCTGAAATCAGGCAATTCTCCTGCATCAGCCTCCCAAGAGTGCTAGGCACCAGGCCCAGCCAAAACTGTCTCTTTTGGTAGAGACAGAGTTTCACTATATCACCCTGGTGAGAGTGCCATGGGGTCACACCACTCATACCAACCTCCAACTCCTGGGCATAGGTGATTCTCTTGCCTCAGCCAAGTCCCAAGTAGCTGGGACTATAAGTGCCCACAACATCCAGCTATTTTGTTTGTTGCAGTTTGGCCAGAGCCAGGTTTGAACCTGCCACCCTGGGTATATGGGGCCGGAGCCCTACCCACTGAGCCACAGGCACCGCCCGCCAAAACTGAATTTTAAATGTAATCTATGCCAAGGGGCTGCCACATTACACAGTGTACATCTATACAATGTCCAGTATACCAGATCCAGAAGGGATCAAGTTGATTGTCTGAAATTTCTATAACCTTGCTCTGGATGGAGCAGGGCAAGGCCTCAAACCATTTCAGAGCTGTTCTCGCAAGCACTGTAGGAATGCACAGGGTCACCACAGACCCAAGCACGCTGGAGGCTTGCTATACATCACCTTTAATTGCAGCTTTGTTTCCATAGTTTTGAGATATGTGTAAAATAGAAATAACATTTGAAAAACAGTTATGTTTACATCTTAATCATGTCAAAAACATAAATCATCACTAAGATGAATTAATTTAATATGAGAAACGTACACTACTTTTTTTTTTTAAGAGACAGAGTCTCATTTTGTCACCCCTGGTAGAATGCTGTGGCGTCACAGCTCACAACAACCTCCAACTCTTGGGCTTAGGCAATTCTCTTGCCTTAGCCTCCCAAATAGCTGGGTCTACAGGCACCCACCACAGTGCCTGGCTATTTTTTGTTGCAGTTTGGCCGGGGCCAGGTTCGAACCCGCCACCCTCGGTATATGGGGCCGGCGCCCTACTCGCTGAGCCACAGGTGCCACCCGAGAAATGTAAACTATTAAATATAGAAGTAGATTTCAATCTTATGTAATTGAAAATTTGCATTAACTGGGGGGGAAAAAATAAAGGATAAACTCCCTCTACTGGTAATTTGAGAAAATCCTAAAGGAGAGAACAACATTCTTAGAATTATATAGTCAGAAAGAAATCAAATTGTGGAAAATGACTATTTCAAGGACAGAGGAAAGTAAAACAAAGTTAAAAGGAAAACTATTTCTGTCAGCTTCCACCTTCTCCCTTAAATTCAATTGGAGAAGCAAGGTTGTAAGAAGTAAGTTTTAAGACTGACCAAAGAGAGGGGTCAATTGTCTTTCTCTTGCCCGGACACAGACACATCAATACACTTTACCTGCCCACCCCAGGCAGGTAAAGTATTGCCCCCAGCCTGCAGCTGTTCTTTCTGCAAAATGTATAGTAAGCTGAGATCCTGCTCAACCCAGCCAGTGAACGCTTGCAGGAATGCTCCTCTTCCTACAGCTTCTACAAGGGTGTTATAATCTCTTTTCAAAGAAGATGTAAAAAGTCCTAAAATGAGACTCCATTCTAAACGTCTACTTATGCTTATGTTCCCAAAATCCACTTGACTAATTATGCTCCTGCACTCTTACCACCACACTACAGCCACTGCCATTATTCTCACTACTTCTCCTATCAGCTACCATTTATTTAGTACTTACTGTATACTAGGTTAAATACTTCAAATGGATTATTTCATTTCACCCTCATATCAATCCTCAGGGTAGCGCAATTATCAGTTAATAGAATCTTAAAGTTATTTGCTCCAGCTCAAACAATAACAAATGGCATAGGAAATTTTGTTTACGAAACCAAAGCTTATGATTCTGGAGCTGCACTGTGTTTTGCTTATGATATTTTAAAAGAAACAAAAAGATCGTATTATAATGCAAACCTACTAAAATCGGCATACTGAACTCTAGAGGGAGCCACACTAATAAGCCAACAAGACATTCTGTATCTGGCTAATTAGTACTAATGCACAGACTAAAAATGAGCAATGGATAACAATCGCTTCTCAAAAGACATGTTATTTATTTCCTTGAAAAAACATAAGCAACACACCATTGTCTAAGAAACAATATATGTGCTTTTCAACAAAAGAATCCTTTGTGTTAAATCTGTAATATCGCTGCGGTACGCCTATTAAAAATGACACAAACTAGCCCTTGCCAAAATCCCTAGGAAACAGCACAATGGAATAACATTTTCCCTTTAAATACCATAGACATGTGCATAATTCACTAGTTCACAAACTCAGGTTTTGAAACTCAGGTTATGACCCAAAGAGGAACTACTAAAGGATAAGTTTTCTCTTACAAAAAAAACACCCTGCCACCCAAATGTCTATCTAGTCGAGAAATAAGAAGGCCTTTTGGTGTTAGAAAATCAAAAGGAACCAATTTCATAAAAAATGAAAAAACAGCCACTCAAAAACATATACACAGATACACACAGCAGCCTTGTTCATATACCAAAAAAGTGGGAACAACCCAAATGTCCATCAAATGATGAGTGGACTTAAAAAAAAACAAAACAGTGGTCTATCCATACAAGAGAGTGGTATTTGGCAATAAAAAGGAATGAACTACTGATTCATTCCCCACCATGGAATAATCTTCACAACATTATGGCAAACGAGTGAAGTTAGTCAAACAAGACGACAGGAGGTATGATTCCATTTATCTGAGATGTGCAGAACTGGCCATAGAGACAGAAAATAGCCTGAGTGGGGAGGGGGAAGCAGAAAGAAGGATAATGGGGAATAATTACTAATAGAGAGTTTCTTTGGGGGTGATGAAAATGTTCTAAAATTGTGGTGATGGTTGTTAAAATATTAAAAACTACTGAAACTGTATATTTGAAATGGGTGAAATGTATGGCATATGTATCTTATTATCTCAATAAAATTGCTCTTAAAAAGAGACATTTTCATTGTGCCTTTAAAAGCTTTTTGGTAAGCAGTCTACAGTTTCTACTCAGTCGCACTTTAAAGCAATTTCCACTTGAATTTTCCAGCTTCAATCCATTTTTTCTGTAATATTTCCTAGTCTGCATAGACGGACGAAAACCACAGCACAGAAACAAAAATACTATTAAGAGATAAATGGGTATAAAAATGGCTCAAAATTCAAATGGAAACCTGGAAAATGACTTTTTTAAATGTTAGGTTCAAAGTTTTCTAATATCAATCTTTATGTAACTAAAAACTGCTTAAGAGCAGATAATAGACTTTCTAAGAGGAAGGGACATGCTTTGACAAAGAACTCTATGCCATCCTTACTAGTTTTCGTCTTAATATTAGTAACTACAGTCATTTATATTCTTCCTAAAGGGTAGACTAACTCTAATTTGTGACTCTATTTTCATGTAGGAACCCTTAAGACTTTGGAAAAATCGGCTTGGCACCTGTGACTGTAGCAGCTAAGGCACTAGCCACATACACCTGAGTTGGCAGGTTCGAATCCAGCCCCTGCCCACCAAAACAACAATGATGACTGCAACCAAAATATAGCTGGGCGCTGTGGCAGGCACCTGTAGTCCCAGCTCCTTGGGAGGCGGAGGCAGGAGAATTGCTTGAGCTCAGGAGTTGGAGGTTGCTGTGAGCTGTGATACCACAGCACTCTACCCAGGGTGACAGCTTGAGGCTCTGTCTCAAAAAAAAAAAAAACTTTGGAAAAATATTTAATGTGAGATAATATGGAGAGGCCTATTAAAATTCCTAAGTCTTCTAATACATTTCCTGCAAACATACCATCTGTACACTTTTCTCTAATTCCTGGGGAATCGCAAATGTGGATGAAGGAGCCTGAGTTAGAGGCCATGCACCAGCCTAGAAGGAAAAAAGTAAAATAAAAAGTTAAAGAGGTCTACATCTAACCAGGAGTAAATATACGATTTAATAAACTAGAACACCTCCCCCCACCCCCCAAAATGCTGCTAAAACCCCTGAGCATCACTACTGTGGCACATTTCATATTCTAAATCAACATGACATGTGATTCCGGAAACCACAGTCCACTGCGTGAAACAAATGTAATTAGGCTTCCCTGTTTGAATCCTTTTTGTATCAAAGTACTAAAACCAAGTAAAGGCCCACAGTAAAACATATATTCATACCTGTAGAACATATATTTGAAAACTAATTCCCAAATCTATTACTGTGTCTTGATTTTTGATAAAATTGTTGAACTTATTGTTGAGATCAGCACTGACGCTCATATCTGTATACATCCGATGTAGCTTGCTGGTAAACTCATAACCACAGGCTTGCTATACAAAAAGAAGAAAAGGTTTTAAAAACCTATGAATTAAAAAGAAAAATAATAAGCTAAATTGATTAATAAAAATGTGCTTCTATCGCTAGGTCTTTGGTCCGAGGTCCTTGCATGTATGTTTACATCCAAGGCCTATAATATTCATAATTCAAAGTACCTATTCAAAATCATTTAAAGATTCCTTTCTTTTGAAGGCTGATTAAATTAGTGAATAAAAACACCTATTTAAACAATAAACCTGCCTTTAAAATATCTATATATCTTAAGCCAACACTGCAAGACGCTCCACTACTACACATAAGATACATTAAAATTTATTTATTCATTTGAAGAGATAAGGTTTCACTATGTTGCCTAGGCTGGAGTGCAGTGGCTACTCAAAGGCATGATCAGAGCTTCAACCTCCTGGGCTCAAGCAATCCTCCTGCTACAACCCCTTGAGTAGCTGGGACTATAGGTACATGCCACCATACACGGCTTTTATCTACTATCTGTAGATAGTAACAACTATATATGAAAGATTACTTAGAACACTCCAGCCAGTAGCCAATTAAAAAGGTGGCACGTAGGGTTATTTTTAATACCATCTACTGAGGGATGAAGAAGTCTATTTCTTTGAAATTATTCCAAACTGTTATTACTGGGTCAGAAAAATCTGAATCTCTAAACCTGGGATATAAAAAACTTTGTGTTCTGTTAACATGCTTTCTAAACATTAAAAGATCAGTTATGTTTTTGGTAGGTTTAAAAAGAAACACGTTATATTCAATGTCTTCTATACAATGACATTTTCAACTGCTGAATTAATTCAGGATAACAAGTATCAGTGTGTCAGCTGAAATGATGTGAAAAAAACAAAATTCAGCTATGTGCCAAAACTTGTACTGAACAGAATATTTTAGGTATATTCATTTATAAGCAATACTAGTCTTTTTTAAATCAAAACTGATATCCTGTGAATACTGCCACATCAATATGTATTTTTCCTTTTAATATAGCATTTACATATCTCACTGTATGGATACACACCATTATACATCTAACGGATCCTGCTGATGAATTATTTCCTATTATTATATACATGGACATCCTTATGTGATGGTCCTTACCAGACCCAAGACTTCCATTACCTTTAGTTTATTGATCATGGCTTCTTCAGAATCCATAGACATAGATAACCCATGAATTAGACGTTTTGCCAGCATTCTTGCGTAGAACTACATTGAAATAAATGTTTAAGATTACTTCCTTTTCTAGTGATGTAAAGTTCAAAAAGCAGTCAAAGTTTACTAAAATACAAATGAAACGTTTCTATTCACAACTCACCTTTTGAAAAACATCTTTATCATCAATATATTTGAAAACAGTGATGAAGCTTGTGAGTTTGTCTTCCACTTCATTCTCCGTCATCCCTTTTGCTGATTTCTTTAGTAAGTTGTCACAGTACTTAGCAAGCTCAAATAAAAAGTGACAATACATCTTAAAAAAGGCCCTTCCATACATATTGTGCCTCCGAAGAAGGCAAACCAGCAATACAAAATAACATCCATAGGCAGAGTTTTGCTATCCTAAAGCTTACTTTATTATTTATTTACTTTTTTAAGAAATGGGATCTTGCTGTGCTGTCCAGGCTGGAGGGTAGTAGCCTTTCACAGGCAGCATCAGGTGCACTACAGCCTCAAACTCCTGGCCTCAAGAGATCTCCTGCCTCAGTCTTCTGAATAGCTGGACTACAGCCACACACCAAAATCATGAAAATAAACTATCTAATTTAAAACATATGTCGTTAAGATAAATTTTAAAAAATCAAACTAGAAATAAGTCAAGAATGCAATCAACACCCACTGACCAATAAAGCACTGCTGTCTGTAATATAAATTTCTACAAGAACACTTAGGTGAGTTTTGAGTAGTTCTGTAATTTTTGACACTGAATAAGTACCTTTCTTAATTTTATAAAAACCTTACAGTTTCCTTCAAAGGTTACCAAAACTTTATCATCAGATTTTCTTTAGATTTCAGATATAACAACATTTTCATGAAATGTAATGCAAACTATTATAAAGGGAAATATTTTCTCTTTCAGTTATTCTTAAGAAAAGCCACATATATCCGCTTGGTGCCCATAGCACAGAGGTTACAGCACTGACCACATATACCATGGCTGGCAGGTTCAAACCCAGCCCAAGCCAGCTAAAGAACAATGACAACTCCAACAACAAAATAATAGCCAGGCGTTGTGGAAGGCGCCTATAGTCCCAGCTACTTGGGAGGCTGAGGCAAGAGTATAGCTTAAGCTCAAGAGTTTGAGGTTGCTGTGAGCTATGATGCCACAGCACTCTACCAGGGGTAACATAGTGAGACTCTGTCTCAAAAAAAAAAAAGAAAGAAAAAAAAGCCACATATAAATGCTGAATTATATAAGATATAGAAATAATAATTTTTTTCCTATTTTTTAGAAAAATGCTACAAAAAACAAGTTAATTTGACGTTCTCCTTGGTTTTCACTTTCTCAGTAGCCATCAAACTTACCAGTTCAGGTGCTTTGCAAACAGACTTGGGTTCTCTGTAATTTACAACTGATGTAAGGGCCTAAATAGAAAATAGGCCAGTGATTAGCTACCAGCAGTACAGCAAAAATAAAGCTGGTGTATTATAATCATCTATAACCTGTACATCTAAAATGACCACCCCACCCAAAACGCAGGGTGCAGTGTTAGTTTAATAGTGCTATCATATCTAACAAAAGGCAGACATCTCTAACTTTATTCTTAACTATAGAACAACTATATATCCCGTCCTATTGCAAGATACTCTTTATAACTCATTACTAAAATTTTAACACAGATAAAATAACTCTACTTTTTCAAAATAACCTTGTAAGCAACTTTCCTTTGAAGAATACAAAAATTCAGAAGTTTATAAAATATATTACTTTTACTTTCAAATATTATAGCCTAAGTATTACATTCAAAGAAAAAAATTAGTTCTAAAAATATTAAAATGTATGGCCAAAAGATACAAGTTTATTAACAATTCCCCTTACATAGCATAATCACTATTTAAAAGTTGTGTTGTTTCTACTTGACTTTTGCATTTAAATTAGTTACTTAGCAGGAGGAAGGAAGACAAAGAGTTACTTAACGTTAATCTCTATGTTTAGATCAAAAATTTCATACTTAAAAGCCTAACCCTGAAACTGGCTAAAGAATGAGAACGAGAATTTTATGTACATATACATGTATTTGTAAATTACCTTATCCAGTGCACTCATAAAGTGCTGATCACCATTCAAAACAGTGTTAATAAGTTGAACAAATTTACCATGTACTTCCAAAACTGATTCCACAAATAGAGTTGGCATCTGCAAACATGGAATATAAAACTGTATTTTATAAATACAATAAATATAAAATTGTATTTTAAGACGTTCAGGAATAAAATTTGGCTTATTAAAACTTGTTAAAATAGTGAAGTCTTCCCCCAAATTATGTTTTATACATTAACGCTCCTCAGAAAATGGTTTTACCTAAGATAGTCTTAAAAACCTACAACTTTGATGTTGACACGAGTCTATCATTCAACAGCAGGGCTGTCTCGTATCGCTGGCTGAAGAACCCGCTTATTGACTGTGCTGTTAAACACCCTTCTCTCTTGCACTGGGATACCTTATCTTTAGGATAACAAGACACGATTTCTGAACTACCAGGCCCGTCACTTTCGTAAAGAATCATATAAACACAGAGTACCTGCAGAGTCACTAATGGCTGACAGAGCAAGAATTAAAAAGCCACTTTCTGTGAAAACAGAGGCCCCTGGAACTGGGTGGCAATACCATCCCCACATCTCAGGGGAAAGAAATACCTACTAATGCAGAAGTGAGTTTTTCCTCTTTATGGAGGTAACTGTGAAGAAATCAGCACCTCAGACTTAAGCATGTCAGTGAGATGTACTTGAGTTCACTACAAATGCATTTACTTATATTTCTGCCTCCCAGCCTTGACACCCACCTCTGTGCTTCCAAGCCCACTTCATACCCTGAATCTGTAAATCAAGTGATATAAACTAATGTGTCTAATAAATACGAGTGAAAAAAATAAATACTATGAACTAAGAGTTCTACAAAAATGGAAAACGTATGCATTATGCATACGAAAACACATGCAAATAGACAAATCTACAATTCCGGTAATCAGCATTTAATAAATGCTCTTGACTAACGGGATCTACACAGAGTACTACGCTGCAGATAAAGAGCAAAGAGTTCTTCCTACGAAGGAGCCTGTAACATTTCATACTATGTCTCTCTTATTCATCGACCATCACCAGGAACAACAAGGAAACAGGTACCACAACACCTGATGAGAGGAACACGCTTTAGTAAGAAAGGCAACTAGGAAAAGCAACCTCTTGTAAACAGGGACCTGCCCGCCTTGGCAAAGGACTTGGCAGAAAGACGGGTGGTAGAGACGTGAGTGCCTCTGGGTACTTGGGGCAGCCAGTGTATGTTTATGGAAGACTATTTTAACCTAAATTTGCTTCATGGACAACCGAATGCAGGGAACATGTAAAGAAAGCAATTGCTGCCCTGTCACTACAACTATGTATCAATGCCAATGACACGGAAACACAATTATCTAGAAACAATATTTTCCTGTGAGAAGTTAGCAACTGTTAAAATGAACACATTAAGATGCCAAAAGACAGTCTATCTCATTCAATGGTTTTCATGTGGTAATTCCAAAATGAGTCCAAGAAATTCTAGGCTTAAAACATTTAAATAAAGATACTCCATTTAGGTTGCTGTGAGCTGCTGACATCACAGCACTCTACCTACTCAGGCCCAAAGTGAGACTCTGTCTCAATACAAAACAAACAAACAAACAAACAAAAGACACTCCATTTATTGGCATGGCAAGACTTTTCCCTTTTATCTTTGAAAAGATGGTAAAGACAAAAGAAAAACTCCATGACAAATCCGATTAAGAGAAACATTTCCCAGTCCCTTACATGACTCACATTTTCCTGAGTAAGGTTACTGGTTGCTCTAAGGCCCTCATCATGGATATGGTTTTGCAGCTCCTGAATCATATGAGGTAAACCAGTGGACACAGCACGGAGTAAGACATACATATTTGCCATGTCTAAGGGGAAAAAGAAATGATGATTAAATTCCCAAATACTGTTAAATTAGAAATATATAGTTCAAAATGCAGAAGTCCAAAAGAGTACGCAGAGAAAAGTCACCCCACAGCCATCTCCCACCCACCCTGTCCCCTTTCCCACAAGAACGAAATGTTGTCATTATTTAATATCTTTATGAAGATGTCATGTACATTCAAGCAAACACACATGTTCTGCCCTTTTATATAATGTAGCATATTTGATCTATTATTTGCAGGTATAGAACACATTTTAACACCAAGGTCTTTTTTTTTTTTTCTTTTTTAAACTCTTTTTTTTTTTGGCCAGGGGCCGGGTTTGAACTCACCACCTCTGGTATATGGGGCCCGTGACTTACCCCTTTGAGCCACAGGCACCGCCCCCAACACAGAGGTCTTTTAATATTAGTATGTAAAGTGTTTCCACATATTTTACAACTGCACCATAATCCATGATATGGATAAATTACAATTATTTAAAAATTGTGGAAATTTAGGTGGTTTCCAATCTTTTGGCATTACAAATAATGTTGCAATTAATAATCTGGTATATGGCTCGGCGGCTGGGGAGCCAGCCAAATACACCGGAACTGACAGGCTTGAACCCAGCCTGGGCCTGCCAAACAATGACAATCACAACAAAACAATAGCAGATAAATCAGCACCTGTTGTTCAGTGGTTACAGAGCCAGCCACATACACTAAGGCTGGCGGGTTCAAATCCCACCCGGGCCTACTAACAATGACAACTGCAACAACAAAAAAATAGCCCAGCATTGGCAGGTGCCTATAGTCCCGGCTTCTTGAGAGGCTGAGGCAAGAGAATCACTTGAGCCCAAGAGTTTGAGGTTGCTGTGAGCTGTGATGCCACGGTACTGTACCCAGGGTGACAAAGTAAAACTCTGTCTCAAAAAAAAAAAAAACACAATAATCTAGTATATGGACAAGAATATATGTAGCATTAAGTCACCTAAAGGTGGGACTGTCATGTTAAAGCTTAATAGATCCTTCTAAATAGACCTCCCAATTGTGGGGAGTTCCCTTGACAGTGAGAGGTAAAACATGATGTCTCAGTATCGTGGGTTTTAAACTTCTTACTGGTATAATGCAGATACAGAAAAGTATACAAACCACAAGTGAACAACACACCCATGAAATTACACCCAGGGTTGGGCAGTACCTGTGGCTCAGTGAGTAGGGCACTGGCCCCATATACCAAGGGTGGCGGGTATGAACCCGGCCCCGGCCAAACTGCAACCAAAAAAAGCAAATAGCTGGGCATTGTGGCAGGTGCTTGTAGTCTTAGCTACTTGGGAGACTGAGGCAAAAGAATTGCCTAAGCCCATTAAGTTGGAGGTTGCTGTGAGCTTTGATGCCACAGCACTCTACTGAAGGTGATAAAGTGAGACTCTGTCTCTTAAAAATAAATAAATAAAAGAAAGAAAGAAATTACACCCAGGATAAGAAATTAGTCATTACCTATACCCAGAAGTCCCCTCCATGCCTCCTCCCAATCTCCACTCCTCTGCAAAGGTAACTGCTGTCACGACTGCTCAACCACAGATAAGGGCAAACCATGTTTAACAGTGGAATCATAATTTGTTCATGTCTGATTTTTTTTCTAATATAACATTTATAAGGACCATCTATCTTGTCTTATGTAGCTTTAATTTGTTAATTTCCACTCCTCTAAAAAATTCCACTGTATAAAAACACTGTACTTTATCCATTCTGTTATTGGACATTTGAGCTGTTTCAGTTTGGAGGTATCACAAGTAACGTAGCTATGAACACTGTTGTATATCTTTTTGACCATGTGTGCATATGTGTGTGTGTGGGGGGGGTTATATGCTCAGAATTGCTGGATCATAAAATAAGTGTCTTCAAAATGACTGCACCAATTTATACTCTCACTCTAGAATTTCACAAGCTCCTGCTACTCCACACGCTCCATCACTTGACCATTTGGACAGCATCTACTCTGCAGAACCCATTCAAGTTTCTTGACCATTTTATATTTTGGATGTAAATATTTTTCAATATTGCAAGTGCATCGCCCTATAACTGTTTTTGATGATCTTTTAATGACCCAAAGTTTATTTTATCATAGCCCACTAGATGAATCTTTCCTTTGTGTTTAGTGCTTTTGTATCCTATCTAAAATATCTTTCCTGGGCGGTGCCTGTGGCTCAGTGGGTAGGGCACCAGCCTCATATACCAAGGGCAGCGGGTTTGAACCTGGCCCCGGCCAAACTGCAACAAAAAAACAGCCAGGCGTTGCAGCGGGTAACTGTAGTCCCAGCTACTTAGTTGGGAGGCTGAGGCAAGAGAATGGCTTAAGCCCAGGAGTCAGCCCTCCTCACACACTGCTCTGCAGCACCACCTCAGATCAAGTGTCTACACACGCTCTCTATTTAACTGCATTGGTCTGTTTATCCTTGTACCAGTGCCTCAACATCTTAATCACTGTGGGTTTAAAATAAGCCTTGCTATCCTATAAAGACAGTCTTGGCCATTCTTTGTTCAAGTGTTTAACTTTTATGCTGGGTGTGGTGGTTCACGCCTGTATCCCTAACACTCTGGGATGCTGAGGCGGGGAGAATGCCTAAGCTTAGGAGCTCCAGACTAGCCTGAGTAAGAGTAAGACCCTGTCTCTACTAAAAAATAGAAAAACTAGCCACACCTTGTGGTGGGCACCCGTACTCCCAGCTACTCAGAAGGCTGAGGCAGGAGAATCACTTGAGTCCAGGAGTTTGAGGTTGCTGAGAGCTCTGACACCACTCTACCTAGAGTGACAAAGTAAGAATCTGTCTCACA